CCGGGCTCTTGCACCCGGTTAAAATTTTGATAGTGGATTGTCACAGGGGGCCTCGAGGACCGGTTATGAAAAGAACCGGCCTCTATATATATATATATATTGTGTACCTTTAACCTTGTTTTATACTCCCTCCGTCCCGTTTTAAATCGCGTATTTTGATTTTTGGGCATATTTAAAGAAGAAAAAAATAGAGTTGATTTTACGAAATTGACATTATTTTTTAGGAAGGGTGACGATGAATGAGAAGATAAGGTGGAGAAGAGTGACTTATTTTAAGGGCAGTTAAGGTATTTTGCTCTTAAAAGTTTACGATAACAAGTAACAAACAACTTATTTTGGGATGGAAAAAAAAGGCAAACAAGCAATTTAAAATGGGATAGAGGGAGTAAGTAAAAACTTGTTAATTTTAACAAAACTAGTTTGTTATCAACTCTCAATGATGTCATGGCCAAACTCTCCCTATTCAGTGAACAATGCACATTTTCCAAATAATAGACACATATTTTAAAATTGTTTAATTTGCTCAATACTATGAAAATAAGTTATTACTTAGAGCATTCTAATTCTTTCATCACAGATGTTATGGGCCTGTTTGGAGTAGCGTTAGAGTTTTGAAAAGACTATCTACGGACAATGTTTAGCGTTAAATTTTTTAAAGTAATCTGCAACTTTAAAATTTTTTCAAAACGCCATGTGTAATCTCTAACGCTATTTTCAAATAGGCTCTATATTACAAATTTAACATGCAAAATGTAATGTGTGTGTGTGTGTATATACACATATCTCTGTGTATCTATCGTATTTATCATCCAATGAGATCAATACTAGATATATATGGAGTATGTATATATAATATATATGATCATAGATTCATATAGATATATTACGAATAATATATGGGTAATGTGTGTATGTATGTATATGTGTAAATATATATACATAATACATGTATGTATATACCTGGAGCATGAAACCAACTTTGGAAGCACCAAAGATTCTGTGAACAAGAGAAAATCTTTGGGGATCATTAGGTGGGAAAAAAGGCAAAAAAATGCAATCTGATGGGCATCTTCTTCTCAGTTGTTTGCAAGCCGCACATCTACTTTTATTACTGCTACCCAAATCTGATAATGATAATAATGGTGAAGAATTTTGCATTATATTTTGTGGGAGGAAAGAAATTAAAAAAGATCTGGTGAAAAATTCTGCAGTATCTTTGTTGATATCCCAAAAAGATTTGGGAGAGTATTTATATTTACTTGGGTTATTAGAGGCTAAGTAACGGCTAGTTTTTTTTATTGTTATTGCATCAAGGAAAGTTACCGGTAGGGTGTAATCTTACCATCTAAATTAAGCATTCATTTTTTATGAATTCATTTCAATCTTCTTTTATTTTTTTTGTAATAAATAGCATATTTCTTGTAGTCTATATTTCTTTTCTTTATCCATTTTCCCCTTCGCTCTTGAAAGAAATTTTTACTGTGACGTTACCGAATTTGAAAAAATTATTATCCTAAAATATTAAATCCTTTGTCCCACAAAACATTTCTGGTTTTGACTTTTAAAGGATTTAAAGAGAATATATTTTGGTATTGATTTTTCAAAAATGTCCTTATATGTGATGAGTAAAAAAAGATGCATGTGATGGATAGATTAATAGTAAAAAAATTTAATGTGATAAGTAGGTTAAGAATTAGTAAGGATAAAAGTGACTTTTGAATCAAAATGAGAAATGTTTTTTGAGACGGATGAAAAAAGAAAAAAGAAAGTTTTTTTGGGACAGCTGAAAGAAGAAAGAAGAAAGGTTTTGTTGGACGGAGGGAGTAGAAGTTTGTTGTTAAAATTTACTCCTCCCCTCCTACAATGAATTACACTCTTCATTATTTAAAAATTCCAAGAACATGTATATATTTGCGTGTTTTTGTTTAATTACTCCGTATTTGATAAGATAAATTATTCTCTTCACCTTTTGTTTTGTAGAACTTTTGATCTTTTTTTTTAAATTTTTCTATATTATTTCTATAAAAATAATATAGATTTTTAATTATTTCTATATAAATTTTTAAATAAAAAGAATTAAAAATATTAGGAGTTTTACACACCCGATATACTACTTGTAATAATTACTCCCTCCGTCCCCCTAAGATGTTCTCATTTTGACTTTTGGTGGTTTTTAAGGAGAGTTGAAAAAAGGTGAAAGTTTACCATAATACCCTTAATAAAATATGGGTGGAGTGTATTAAATGAGGTGGGTGAGGTATAATAAATAAAGTAAGTGAGGGTAGTTGTAGTATTTTAATTGTTAAAAAATGAAATGAGAAGATCTGTTGTTGACAAAGAAAAAGGACTATTGAAAAGATCTATGGGAGACGGAGGGAGTATAATATTTTCCCCCTAGTTTTAAATAAATACTGAATTTCATGTGGGCTAAGAAAAAACGAATGAGGTATCAAATAAAATTAACTGCTTACATATAGAATTTGGATTCATTTTCTAACTTAAAAATTTAAGCTAATGGATTGAGCTTAATCTTTCTTTGTATTGGTAATTTTGGTCATACCTTCCGGGTGCGGGATGGAACTTCCAATAGTAAATTCATTAATTTGAAATTAACAAAAAGCTTTTATTTCTAATTTTTTTCTTAAATAATGTGAGGCTCACTTGTGAAGATCATCAAGTAAATCAAGAGGGAGTTGGTGGTTTGAGTGTCGCTTTATTTACACTTTGTTCGTAAGTTTGTCACCGGTTTCCTTTGGCTTGGTTGGTTGTTGGCTTTGGAGCAATTCAAATTCGACTCTCAGGTCATGTGTTCGATACTGGTACCAAGCAAAGAGGAAGGAGAAAAGAAGAAGATTTGAGGTATTTTAAAATACCTTTTTTTCTATTTTTATTTTTCCTAAAAATAGAATAAGAACTATTTAACTACTAGAATTAAAATAAAAAAAATTCAAAACTTATTTTATTAACTACTCCTTTCGTTTAGGAAAATAATTCTTATATTGACTTTGAGCAAAAATAATTTAGTGTTATTTAGAGTTTATTTTCGCGTCCACTATTCACATAGTCAAATTTTATTCACTTTGTCGACGTATTTTCATTCCTCATTTAATAAAATAATATAGTGATATCATCCCTAATTTTATAGGTTTATGATGTAGTTTTTAATTACATAATTCAATATATTAGATAGGATTATTGCGAAAGATGAAATTGAATATTTGAGAATTAATTAAGTAGTGTGAACATAATATGAAAAAATGTCAAATTAATTATGTCAAAACATAATATGAAAAAATGTGAAATTCCAACACATAATGCAAATTATGAACATTTTACAATTCCAACACCCTTATTTAAGGGATAATAGTCATGAAAAATAGAAAAGATCTTATTTTGGTATAAATTCAATGTTTTAGTTTTATTTAATTAATAACTTTTTTATTGTTCACACTACTGGTACCAAGCAAAGAGGAAGGAGAAAAGAAGAAGATTTGAGGTATTTTAAAATACCTTTTTTTCTATTTTTATTTTTCCTAAAAATAGAATAAGAACTATTTAACTACTAGAATTAAAATAAAAAAAATTCAAAACTTATTTTATTAACTACTCCTTTCGTTTAGGAAAATAATTCTTATATTGACTTTGAGCAAAAATAATTTAGTGTTATTTAGAGTTTATTTTCGCGTCCACTATTCACATAGTCAAATTTTATTCACTTTGTCGACGTATTT